GCTGCACATGCTGCTGCAGCTGCAGGAGAGGGGGACTCGCTCAGAGCCCAGCTCCTGCTCCCAGAGGGCAATGGGACAATGGGAATGGGGGAGCCGGGTGCAGAAAACCAACCAAAAGGCAGCCAGGAAACTGGAAACTTGGATCTGCTGCGGGATCTTGGATGCTGCAGCCCCGTGGGGATCAACACTGGGAAGCAGAGGCTGCTCTGTGTGAAGGCGGGCAGGATGCTCAGCCCTGTCCCCATGGCTGCTGCCCAGGCTCCTGCCGCGGTGGCTGTTTTCTCTCTCCAGGAATCCGATTGTTTTCAGCAGCTCTTTCATTATTCTCTTTATCAGCCGAAATCTCTCCTGGAGCTTTTAACTCCAGCAGCCAGCCCCGCTGGTCCCAGCCCCGGCCATCCCCGCCTGCCTTAACAGCCTCTGCCAGAACAATCAGGTTTTGATGGCTCTAAAGAGCCACTCAGGACGATTCAGCCCCATGGCCTGGATCACTCCACTGCAGCTTTCTCCTTCTCCTTGGAAAAGCAGCGTTGCCCTTCCCAGCCTTTCCCATGGATGCTGCCACGGGCCAAGTGTCCACAGCCATTACAGCGAAGCTGCACAACACGCCACTGCCGAAGGGGAGGGTGATTAACACCAGCCCTAATGAGCCGTTGCAGTGGTTGGGGTGCATGCACCCAGAGTCCCAAAGATTTGACCTCCCACTCCCCAAATTCCCATCCTCGGGTGAACCCCATGGGAATGGCAGCTTTGGAATGTGGGTGCTTCCCTCTGCACCTGCACAGCTCAGCCCCACACTGTGCTTCCCAGGGGTGTGACGTTGGTCCCTGGGTCCCCCATGGGCACAGCCCCAGCCCCGCTGACCTCTCCCCCTCCCCGAAGCCTCCTCATGGGCACCCCTGCTGCAAAGAACCCCCCACCCCGGAGCCAAGGGCTGGGGTGGCAGCATTCCAACTGTATCCCAGGCAAAGGGAGGAGCAGGGAGGAGCCAGTCCTGGGGCTCAGATGTGCCTCCAGCTCAGAGCATCCCAACCTGGATTGCAGTTGGGATTGTGGCTGCTGCCCCCCCCCCCCCCCCCAGCACTGCCCCAACCGGGGGGAATGTTTCCACATGCAGGCATGAATCAGCCCCAACGCAAGGAACCCATCTGGGCTGGAGCAATGGATCCATCTGGGAATGGGGGAAGGGAGGAACCTGCCAGTGCAGCTCTTCAAGGGGCTGTGCCTGGAGTCTTCCCACTTGCAGGAGATGCAGGTCAAGGCCTGAGAGCACCTGCTCTGTGGCCAGGGAAGGGTCCCACTGGGAGATCTTGGCTGCTCACTCCTGGCACAGTCCACCTGAACTGATACCTTCAAGTCAAACCCTCCAATTCTGAGGTTTTCTTTGCGTTGAGCACTGGGGACCCCAACAGAAGAGGGACGTGGAGCTGCTGGAGCGAGGCCAGAGGAGGCCACAGAGCTGCTGTGAGGGCTGGAGCAGCTCTGCTCTAGAGCCAGGCTGAGAGAGCTGGGCTGGGGCAGCCTGGAGAAGAGAAGGCTCCTGAAGGGGAGACCTGAGAGCAGCTCCAGTGCCTGAAGGGGCTGCAGGAAAGCTGGAGAGGGGCTTGGGACAAGGGATGTAGGGACAGGCCAAGGGGAATGGCTTGAACCTGCCAGAGGGGAGACTGAGATGAGCTCTTAGGCAGAAGCTCTTCCCTGTGAGGGTGCTGAGGCGCTGGCACAGGGTGCCCAGAGAAGCTGTGGCTGCCCCATCCCTGGCAGTGTTCAAGGCCAGGTTGGACACAGGGGCTTGGAGCAAGCTGCTCTAGTGGAAGGGGTCCCTGCCCGTGGCAGGGGTTGGAGCTGGATGAGCTTTAAGGCCCCTTCAACCCAAACCATTGCAGGATTTTAGGCTGATTTCCAGCTCTCCTGGAACCAGTGGCTCTTCCCCCACCTGGTTAATCATTCACAGGGTGCCTGGAGAGCCAGGAGCTCTGCCACAGCCCCTGAGAGGGGCCATTTCCCAGCTGGAGACAGAGGTGTGTGTCCAAAGGGATGATCCATGGAGAAAGGCATGAATTAGCAGGGCAGGAGGCAGAGACCAGCAGCACCAGCAAGGGACAGAGCTGGTCATCCCAGGGTGGGGCTTTGTGAGGATCAGGGAGCTCAAAACCTGCATCAAAGATTAAGCATTAAACCCACAATCACCAGTATTAAAACCATGGATTAAAGCTCAGAGCACTCCCCTCTCCTCTTCCAGGGACTCACCTGCTTTAATGCCCTTACAAATCCAGGCTGGATTTGGAGGGAATGGGGGAAACATCTGCCTTGGGGAGGTACAAATGTGCCAAGTGGATCCCACTGACACAGGATCCCAAAGCAAAGCCCGCACCACCACCTTGGAAGGGCAGGAGAGAAACTAAATCCACCCACTACTGCTCTGAATCCCAGTGGGAATGAACTACTTGTACCAGGTTTTCCCCTCATCCACCACTCCAGTGCCTGGCGAGTGACTGGAAGGAGCCCAGTACACACCAGTCCTGCGTGCTGGTGGGTTTTAGATGAGGTTTTGCAGGACAAGCTTGGAGAGGTGGTGGGATTTTTACTTCCAGTTGACTCCTCGTGGTTTTCCTGCAGTCAGCGCAGGGCTGGAAGCACAAAGGCACCAGGTCCCCTGCTCCAGGAGCATCTGACCCCCTCCAGGGCAGGTCCCCACCACTGCAGGGGTTTGGGATGTCTCAGGACCTCCCCAGCACAGCCCCTTGAGCTGTGCTTCACTCGGTAAATAAAGCCAAGACAGAGTCAAGGGCTGTTGGGAAGGAGACATTTACTGGCCCAAGAGGTGCCCGCTGCGGTGTCCCTCCCCTTCAGCAGGAGCCCCACAGCATCACCCGCCTGCGCCGTGGCTTTTCTTCCCGCAGGAATCCCACGTCGACGCCTCCCCGCGGAGCCACATCCCTATGGATCACGGCCGCGGGTCTTCCTTGCCCTTGTGGTAGTCGGGGGGGGTGTACTTCCCTTCCCTGATCATCTTGTCCCGCTGCTCCAGGATGGTTTTCAGCCTCGCAGCCTGGCCGAGGACACACACGGGGTGGGGGGAAGCACTGAAGGGTCCCCAAAGCTGTGCGCATGCAGAGCCCCCCCCCGCGCCCTGGGGCTCAGCCCCTGCAACACTTCCAGGCTGTTACAACACGGTTTAATACTGCTAATGACCGGGTTCCAGCCCGCAGGGGAACGGCAGCTTCCCCACCGCTGCTGAGCACTGGAGGGGCGGGGGGGGAGCGCAGCAAGGGGCCCGCAAAGCCCACAGCCCCCCCGCGGAAGGGGGCTCGGCCCCGGCGGCACTCACCAGCTTGGTCCGGTGCATGCACTCCATGAAGTCCTCGTACTCGGGCTGGCACTCGCGGCGGGCGCGGGTCTGGCCCAGGCCGTGCCCGCACTCCACCCACTCCCGCTCGAAGGCGTGACAGGCGCCGGCGTTGCCGTGAGGCTGCGGCATGCTCTGCCGGAGCAGCCACCGGTCCACATCGATGCCCAGCTGCTGCTGCAGGTCCCAGAACGGCATGGCTCCAAGACGGGAACACCTCCGGGGCACGACCGGGCCGCCGCCGCCGCCGCCGTCGTCGTCCTTCACGGGCCTTTCACGACGCTGCCCGCCGTCAAGCGCCACCGCAACCGCGACACCCGCCCCGCGCTTTACGGCTGGGAGGCTCCGGCGGAGCCAGGGAGAGGAGATGAACCAGAGGCAAGAGCAGCCTGTCCCGGTAGAGCGCCCCTGGCGGCGCGGAGGACAGACCGCCCGCCGCGCCCCAGTGCCCCCTGCCGGCCGCTGCGGCTGCCTCAGAGGCTGTCCCAGTGCTCCCGGTGCTCCCAATGCTCCCAGTGCTCCCGGTGCTCCCGGTGCTCCCGATGCTCCCAGTGCTCCCGGTGCTCCCAATGCTCCCAGTGCTCCCGGTGCTCCCAGTGCTCCCAGTGCTCCCGGTGTTCCCAATGCTCCCAGTGCTCCCGGCGCTCCCGGTGCTCCCAATGCTCCCAGTGCTCCCGGTGCTCCCAGTGCTCCCGGTGCTCCCAGTGCTCCCGGTGCTTCCGGTGCTCCCAGTGCTCCCGGTGCTCCCAGTGCTCTCGGTGCTCCCAGTGCTCCCAGTAATCCCAGTGCTCCCGGTGCTCCCAGTGCTCCCGGTGCTCCCAGTGCTCCCAGTGCTCCCGGTGCTCTCGGTGCTCCCAGTGCTCCCAGTGCTCCCAATGCTCCCGATGCTCCCGGTGCTCCAAGTGCTCCCGGTGCTCTGAATGCTCCCAGTGCTCCCAGTGCTTCCAGTGCTCCCAGTGCTCCCGGTGCTCCTGGTGCTCCCAATGCTCCCCATGCTCCCAGTGCCCTCAATGTTCCCAGTGCTCCCAGTGCTCCCGATGCTTCCAGTGCTCCCAGTGCTCCCAATGCTCCCAATGCTCCCAGTGCTCCCAGTGCTCCCAGTAGTCCCAGTGCTCCCAGTGCTCCCAATGCTCCCAATGCTCCCAGTGCTCCCAGTGCTCCCAATAGTCCCAGTGCTCCCAATGCTCCCAATGCTCCCAGTGCTCCCAGTAGTCCCAGTGCTCCCAGTGTGCCCCATCCCCACACTTCAGGCCCCCCTCAGTGCCCCCAGTGCTCCCAGTCCCTGGGCTCTCTCCGTGTCCCTGTTCTCCGGCAGTTTGGGTTCTCTGCAGGACCCCCCCTCCCAGGGCAGAGCCCTCCATCAGGGCTGCCAAGAGCTCAGGGATGAGGGTGGGAGCCCCAAGTCCCCCCCATAGCACCCCCCGCCTGGCACTCACCCACCCTATCCCCATACCCCAGCAGTGTCCAAGGTTTGGGGGCACAGCCCCACCTTCCCTACGAGCGCAGCACCCAGCTGCCTATTGCAGCCTGATTCCCGGCCACCCGCGCTTGGGAAACGCCTCCTCGGAAGCTCTGGACAACCGGTAATTCCCTAACTCCCAGAGCCCAAACCTGCTCGGCCCCATTGCTGCCCCGGCGGCACACACAGCACACGGGCAGGAGAAACAGGCTTTATGGCACAGGCTTCAAAGACCTCACCACGGGGCGATGCCGGCGGCGGGCAGGATGCGTCCCGTGCTCCCGGGGCTCAGATGATCCCGGCTGGAGCAAAGACCGGGGTGACACAGAGGGACTCTGCCATCTCCCAGCCGCAGGACAGCGGGGTGCAGATGCTCTCGTGGTCGTCTCCGGGTTGTGGTGGCTTCCCAAGGAAGAGCTGGACGGTTTTCCTGCGGGAGAGAGCAGCCCCTCCGGAATGCTGCAGGATAGGGCTGGGAACGGGGGAGCTCAGGGGCTCCCTTGTCCCCCTGAAGCCAGAGGTGGTTTCCCCAGCAACAAACTGCTTCAAGCCTGTCAAGGCTTAAAAACCAGAGGAGTTTTGCCTCTGAAACCAGCTTTTCCCAGCTTCTGGTGCTCAGATTTGACCCCTTCCCTTGGGCAAAGAGCCCAGGTGGAAATCAAGGCGGTGTTTCCCATGGGATACACCCCATCCCCAGCACCCTGCTCATGCAGGACATGCAGGGTGATGTCCCTCTTACCAGGCCATGCGGGACATGGCGTAGGTGATGTGGGGCTGGGGCCGCCCCGGGGGGGCCGTGCTGATGCTGTAGGCACCCATGTCCTCAAAAACGAGCCAGTCCCCGACCTGCAGCTGGGGCAGGGCCAGGCCATCGGCCAGGCGGTCGTCTGCATGGCCAAGGGGGCCGTGGAGGCTGCTGCTGTGCGAGGGGTGGTCAGGGCAGGGTCTCTGCAGGGAAACGATGGGGTATCCATTGGGAATGAGGCCATCGCGGAGCCACAGGGACCTGGTTCATCACCACCCACCCCGGGAGCCCAGGGACAGGCTGCAGCTCTGCTGGTTCATCAGGGCAGCATCAGCCCCGGGACTCCGGCTCCCCTCTGCTATGGAGCCCGGGGGCACAGAGGAGGGCTGGGCTCGATGTCACCCACAGCGAGGGACCTCACCTTGGGCAGCTGAGGTGTGGGGCAGGGGCTGTCAAACAGGAGGCAGCTGAAGGCGCCGTAGATGCCGTCGCTGAGGTGATAGACGAGGCTCTTCTTGTTGGCAGAGTCCTCTGGAGAGGAGCAGGGAGAGGGCTCAGGAGGGCTCGGGCACTCGGCGGGGCTGGTCCCATCCCAGCCACTGTCAGAGCCGGGATGCTCCATGGGGGCCTCCTCCCTGTCAGTGATGGTGGCAGCCAGGGTGAAGGCAGAGGTGACGTAGAATCGCCCTGGCTGGGCCATGATCTCCACTCCGCGGCCGTCCGGGAAGTACGAGTCCAGGGCAGAGTTTATCACAGCAGCCATCTGGAGGGGAGGGAGGCGATGGGTGATGGGAGCAAACCGGAACAGGGCAGGTTCAGGCTGGAGATGAGGAAGCTCTTCCCTGTGAGGGTGCTGAGGCGCTGGCACAGGGTGCCCAGGGAAGCTGTGGCTGCCCCATCCCTGGCAGTGCTCAAGGCCAGGTTGGACACAGGGGCTTGGAGCAAGCTGCTCCAGTGGAAGGGGTCCCTGCCCGGGGAGCTGGATGAGCTTTAAGGTCCCTTCCAACCCAGACCATTCCACGACTCCATGATAAAATGTACCCCCTGGGTTAGCTCAGCCCCTCTGCAGGAGCCAGACCCAGGCACCCTCCACTCTCTGCCTGCTGACCCAGGCACGGGAGCCACGCACCTCTTTGAACCGGGCCCTGGTGTCCTCAGTGCCAGGGAATCCGCCTCCGATGTCCAGGAGGTGCATCTGGAAGCCCAGCTCCGTGCCCATGTCAAAGGCCAGTTGTGCTGCAGCCACAGCCTGAGCAAAGGCCTGAGGCTCCAGGCCATGGCTCCCGAGGTGGAAGCTGAGGAACAGCCCCTGTGTCAGCAGGGGTTGTATCCCCAGAGAGCCGGGAGGGGACACAGCGCTGGGACCATCGCTCACCGGGTCCCACACACCATCCCAATGCCGAGTGTCCGACCAGCCCCTCAGAGCCCCCCAGATCCTCTCTGAGGTCCAAACCTGCCCCAAACTGGTCCCACAAGGGTCAACCTCCCCAGGTCCCTGCCTTCACCTCTCTCCCCACCAGAGCTGCTGATGGCTCCATGGACCTCCATGCGGTCCCTATGGATAAAGGACCACGCGCTGTACCTGATGCCAACCACCTCCACAGCCTGCTCCTTCGCCATCTCCAGCAGGTGCCTGCAGGACTTGAGCGTGGTCCCAAATGCCATACTCGGATGGGCAGAAGGGCTGGAATCAGCAGCGATACCCAACAACATCCTGCAGAGCAAAGCCACCCGGTGCTGAGGGGTTTCAGGCCCTCTATCACCCCACAGCCACCCCATAGCTCCTACACCAGCTCCCCCCGTGCAGTGATGCTGCTGGACACCCACCGAGCCTGAGGATGGCTCCGGGCCACCTTGCTCAGCTCCACCTCGTTGTCAAAGGCCATGAGCTGCACCCCGTGGCTCGCTGCATACTTGATGTGGGCAACCTGCTTGCAAGGGCTGCTGTAGAAGATCTTGTCAGGGGGGACTCCGATGCTCCGAACCCGTGCGATCTCTGCCTGCAGGGACACAACACACACGTTGGCACCTCGCTGAGCCCTGGGCCAGCATCGCAGCCTGGGCTTTGCCAGGGAACAGCCACAGGAGCTCAAAGGGATCATGCCAGACCTTGTCCTGGTAAGGGCAGGTTGCAGCAGGATGTCTATGAGTGGAATGAGATGAGGAGGAGAGGAAACGAGGGGGTTTAGCAGGTATGGGGTTGGTGTGTGTGTCCCCTGCGAGCTGCAGCGAGGGTGACAGTGGCAGCGTTGCTCTGACCTGTCACAACCCTGCACTTTCTCCTCCTGGTACCATTTAACTGTGTACAAGCGGCTCAGCTCTGGTTCCTCCCTGGAATCTGGCTATTGCAGGAGGGCGCAGGGAGCTTGAAAGCCACCAGGAGTTGGCTGGTTTTGGCAGCAGCCCCCCAGGGACCTGCCTTGCCACCAGCCAGGGCACCAGTTCCAGAGGCAGGAATGAGGGTCAGAGGGAACAAGCCTGAGCCACCAGAGAGGCCATGGATTTCCGAGCTGTGTTGGGAGGAGAAACCTGCACCCTGCTGCTTTCTCATCACAGAATCAACCAGGTTGGAAAAGACCTTTACGACCAAGCCCAGCTGTTAAATGCCCAAAGGATGCTTCCCCCAGGCTGTTCTCCCACAGCCCTACCTTGTTGGTACAGGCAAAGCCTGTCCCCAGCTCCGCCAGCAGCCGAATCACTCCTTCGCTGCTGTTGCACTTAACAGGGAAGAACGGCTTCACCCGGGGTAGGGCCTTCAGGAACTGCAGGTGTTTCTTCACGATGTCCCCCAGGTCTGCCACGAAGAAGGCTTGCTGGGCACCCTGGGGGAAAGCTGCAGTGAGCAGCACTGGCCCCCCCGTGCCAACCTCTGCCAAGGGAGCAGCGAGCATCGGCCCTCACCGCCTGGCACGGCTCCACGAGGAGGTTCTCCAGCAGGTCTCTGGTGGTGAAGCCCTCCTCCACCATCATGAAGTTGGACTCATTCAAGTACCCGTTCATGGCTGAGGTGCGGTAACGTGAGTTTGAGGTCTTCTCGAGTAGGGTTTAGTGTCTAAGTATGCAACGCAGTGGGAAAACAAGGAAAGGGATGCGAGAAGCAAGGTCCAGAAGCTTCACCAGTGTACACCCTGAGCTCCAGACCTTGCAGCTCAGGCACCAACCCAAAGCAAGTTTAGCACCAAAGCCAAGCTCACTGCAAAGCAGATGGCCTATAGATGCCAGGACATGTCCCATCACGCTCTGGCATGTAGCTGGATCTGCTGTACATTGCATGGGGTGAAGGACCCTTGTGGTTTTCCTGTCTCATGGACCCAGGCACACAGCCCCATGGAAAGAGGCACCCTGACAGAGCACAGCACAGGCCACTCGCTGAGGATGGTCTGGATCCCTGCTGTGGTTCCAGTTTCATTTCCCTCCCTTGAGACAGGGTGTGGAGCAAGGGGACAAGTTAAGCTGCAGGGTGTTTCCTGACTCGTACACTGAGCTTTAAGCTCACACACTTGGCTCCCCTGGATCCAGCCCATCCCATAATGCAGGGAGCTGATGACCCAGCGCAAGCTCACATGGAACATTCCCACTCCAGGTCCAGCTCCAGGGCTTTTACAGGTCTCCCTGACCTGCAGTGAGTGGGAGACAGAGGTTTCACATCAGAGCTGCATCTCCTCCCCTTCAGAGACCTTACAACACTCTGGAGCGGCACTAGGGAAGGCCCACGCTGACCCGGAGCAGCCGGATGGTGCCATGCATTGAGCAAGCACTGCCAGTGAATTCCAGAGATGTGGAACGGGGTAAAAAAAATGGAGTTTGAGGCTCTTAAAGCTTCGTACGTGGGAAAGAAAAGTGATTCCTCCAGCCTTGCCCTTCACTGCCCATCACCAACCAGCCCTTCACCCCCCCCCCGGCTGGCACAGAAATGATGTCATTTAAGTGGGTCATTCCTGCCAGCCCATGCCACAGACAGACATTCCCTCCTTACCAGGGTCTGATGCCTCCTTCCCAAGGTCTTATCCCTCCCTCCCAAGGTCCGATGCCTCCTTCCCAGTGCCTAGGCACAATGCCAGGGGGGGTCCCCAAGGAACGCCGAGCTCCCGCTGCACCCCGAGGCGTTGTTGTTGCTGGGGGTCCGAGGTCTCTGGGCAGAAGCAGGGCGAGGGGTTGGTGAGGGGCACTGAGCCATCATTCCCAACGTTCAGCAAGCACAGGCATCCCTCCTCAGCCCCCTCCCGGCTGTGCTTCCCGGCAGCCCCACGCAGCCCCGTGTCGTCCTCCCGCAGTTACCTTAGAAAGCATTTAAACAGGCTTTGCCCATAGGTCGTGCAGGAGAATGGAGTGGCCCCAGCCGTGCCTCTTGTCCTGCCCCAGCTCCCCGCCTGCCCCTGGCCCCCAGACCCTGTGTTTGGCGGGCCCTGGACCCGTTGTATCCCAGCACCCCCCTCCTTGCTCTGCCTTCCAACCATAGCCATGGCAACCAAACCCAGCCACCCCATTGGCTGAGCTGCCTCTGAGCATCCTTCATCCCTTCTGAGGAATGCTCCACCCTTCGCCCACCTTATCCAGGGATGGGGCTGCCCCCAGCAGACACCCCGAGCCCCACCGAGCCCCCTACCCCGCGCCGGCAGCTCACCCCCAGCCCTCCTGCAGCCAGTCATGGTGTGCACAGGGACCATGGAGGGGAAGAGAGCCCAAAATACCTCTGAGATACTGCTGCCAGGGGAAGGAGGCTTCCTGCAGATTAAACCCTGTCTGGCTGGGACACCGGCGAGGTGGGGGGTGAGTCAGGAAGCTCACAGGGACTGATTCTGCCCTGCTGGGGCTGCTGCCAGCTTCGGTGGGTTCCCCAGCAGCGGATCCAGCTCTGCCATCCACGCACATGCCCCGTTCGGTCCCTCAGTCCTGTCTTTGGCCGCATTTGCGCACTTGGAAGCGGTTCCACCGCTCCATCCCGCAAACACTGCAGGCTGAGCAGGGCATTTCCTTCTTGCTTCATTTACAGCTCCCTCTCTGGTGTCACTGAGGAGACAACGCTCTCTCTCAGCTGCCCCTGCAGAGGAGGTGGAAGGGAACGACTCATCCTGGATACTCAACGCTGAGGTCTTGGCTTTGCCATGAGCTCTCCTGGCAATCAGGGCCAAGGGAGCTCTTGTCTCCTGTAAGATCCTGGCTCTGACCGCAGCCAGAGCCGCGCAGGACGGGGGGGGAGCGGTGCAGAGAGCAGGGCACCGTGCGGCGGAGCACCGCAGTGCGCCGTGACACCGGGCCGGCAGCGCCTGCGGCGCGGGGAGCGCACCGAGCCCACGGCCAGCGAAACCACGCCCACTTCCAGTGAAACCCCGCCCATTGGCAACGAGACCACGCCCACTTCAAATAAAGCCACGCCCACCGCCCGTGCAAGCCCTCCCCTTCTCCGCTAAGCCACGCCCATACCCCCGAAGCCCGCCCACGAGTCACGTGGCTCCCGGAGTTCCCGCCCATTGGCGGCGGGGCGGGGCTGGCGCGCAGTCGGCGGCGGCCATGGCTCCGAGCGCGCAGCCGGGCGATGGCCGCGGGCAGGCCTCGGGTCCGGGGCTCCGCCGGGGCATCCGCGCGGTGCTGCTGGGCCCGCCCGGTGCGGGCAAGGGCACGCAGGTGAGGGGGCACCGGGGGGCGGTGTTAACGGGGCGGCGGCGGGAGCGGCCCGCTCGGCTCTGGGGTGACGCCGGTGTCCGGCTTCGCGTCTGTCGCCGAGGCAGCGGGGCGGGCGGCCTGACCCGACCCGACCCGACCCGGGGGCTCCGTGCCTCTTCCCGCTGCGGGCTCAGCCGTGCGCCTGTACCCGTGCTCTTTGTCCCGGTCCACTCTCTACGGGCGGCCGCGGGGACCCGGTATCCGGGCCCCGGCACCGGCGCTGCCGGCGGGCCCTGCCACGTGGTTGCCGGCCGCAGAGCGGGAGCAAGGCCGCGCTGGGGCTCCATCCCCTGCCTGGGCCTCAGCCCCTCGGAGCCCTCCCGCTGAGCACCCCCCCGGTGTGTCTGTGTCCTCCCGCAGGCCCCGAAGCTGGCAGAGACCTACTGCGTGTGCCACCTAGCAACCGGCGACATGCTGCGGGCCATGGTGGCCTCGGGCTCCGACCTGGGCAAGCGCCTCAAGGAGACGATGGACGCCGGGAAGCTGGTGGGTACCGGGGGTGTGGTGGGAGGGGAGGCGGGTGGCAGCGCTGGAATGGGAACAGCCCAAATCCACCTGGTAATTAGAAGCCTCGGTGACAAAAGGGGAGGGAGGCAGATTGCAGGGCGGGGGTTTCCCTTCTCATTATCCCGCAGGAGTAAACACCCTCTCTAAACGCCCTTCCTCTTCACAGTTGCTCCTTGCTTACCAGCAGCCAGTGTCTCTCTTTGTGCTCGGGTTGGGTGCAAGGGGTTCTCTGGCTCCTCAGCACTGAAGTGAAGCTTTTTCCTTGGAGCTGCAGGCTGTTACAGTCAGGCTTTGTAGCTCTGGTTTCGCTTCACGTCGTTCCTGGGCTCCTCTGGGCTGGATGACTTTGTTCAGAGGGTCCCAGCTCTGCAAGAAGGCCATTTGCCTGTAATGCAAAAATAGATGCAGGGGTGTTGCTGAGATACAGTGGGCACTGGGTAATGCTGTGCAAGAGATGCTTTGGATTCCCAGGGGACAGAGCTGGGGCCTCTGACACACTGCTTTTCTGAGGGGCTTGGCAAAATGACTGAAATATGTCATTAGGGACAGCAAGTTGCAGTGATGTGCTCCAAAACAAAGGGGTATGGGGCAGATCCTGGGCATTGCTGCTGGCTCATGGACTTACAGCCCCCCACAGAGACTTTGCAGGCCACAGGTTGGGAGGACAGCGTGGCCTAGCTCCAGCTTTCACTCCAGGCTTGCGTTGCAACACCGAGCCTGCAATAGCCCAGCTGGTTATGAAAGATAGGGCTGTTATCTGGCACTGCTGGTGCTATCTGCCACGTGTGTGCGGGGCAGCTCCACAAGGCTGCTGTGCAGGTACGGCCTAGCACCATGCTCTGGCTCTGTGATAACTTGGCCTCAGGGAGGGGGCTTTGGGCTCGATTAGGAAGCAGAACCCCTTTCTCTGAAGGCAGTAATCAGGAACGCACAGAAGGGGCTTGGTGCTTTCCCCAAACTCCTCCCACCCCAGCGCTTCCCATCCCAGGGTGCTTGTTTGTGTGTTGGCACAGCCTGGTCCTTGATCCTGCTGGGTCCCAGCTGTGGGTGTTGGAGAAAACAGCTCTGCTGAGGAGAGCTCCTGTATAAACAGCTATTGTTGGGGCTGCCGTGCCTGTTAGTGCCTCCCAAAGGGTGCTAATCTCGGTGGTATGTGGGGAAAAACCAGGCAGCCAGGGCAGAGCTTGTCAGCCATTGAAGGCATTCACCTTCACACCAGGTTTATGAGTCAATGAGCAACTGCTTCACCCTTCCTGGCTTCCGCAGGGCCCTGTGGGTGAAGGTACGCAGTAGCAGGAAGTAGAGGTTATGTCATGACCTCCCTCATCTCCAGAGTTTGCCTTCAGGCTGCTGGTGTTCCTTGAAACCCAGCAACCTTTGGAACAGAGATGTGGTAGCACTGGTCCAAGTCCCTGGTGTGGAATGTGGCAGTAGCCGCCTGGTGGTGGGTGACACCCATGGCAGGGAGTGCTTCAGGTCTGAACACACAGCTTCCACCTTGTTAGCTCCTGTCTTCTGGCACCAGGGATGCCTGTTCAAACAGCCCGGTGTGAGTAGAGGGGCTGTGTGTAAAATCGGGGTGTCCTAGAATCACTTGGGGTGGAAAAAGACCTTTAAGATCCCTCCTGTGCCTCCTCCCCAGGTGAGTGATGACATGGTGGTGGAGCTGATCGAGAACAACCTGGACTCTCCTCCCTGCAAGAACGGCTTCCTCCTGGACGGCTTCCCGCGCACGGTGAAGCAGGCGGAAATGGTACGTGTGAGCTGCTGCTCCAGCATCTCCTCCCTCCCTGGACCCCAGCTCCTCTGCCGCTGTCCTGCTGAGGTGGGTACTTTCTGTTGCAGCTGGATGAGCTCCTGGACAAGAGGAGAGAGAAGCTGGACTCAGTCATCGAGTTCAGCATTCCCGACTCCTTGCTCATCCGGAGAATCACCGGCCGGTAAATCCTTTTCTCCCACTCGGGATGTGGGGTTTCCTGCTCTGAGTGTGGTGACCCAGGTCAGCCTTTAGGCTGTGCTCTTGCTCTTCTGAAGCTGTTGCTGCTCCTTTATGCAGGAGAAGGCTCCAGGGACACCTTAAAACAGTCTTCCAGTATCTAAAGGGGGTTTACAGGAAAGCTGGAGAGGGGCTTGGGACAAGGGATGCAGGGACAGGCTAAGGGGAATGGCTTTAACCTGCCAGAGGGGAGACTGAGCTGAGCTCTTAGAGAGAAGCTCTTCCCTGTGAGGGTGCTGAGGCGCTGGCACAGGGTGCCCAGGGAAGCTGTGGCTGCCCCATCCCTGGCAGTGCTCAAGGCCAGGTTGGATACAGGGGCTTGGAGCAAGCTGCTCCAGTGGAAGGGGTCCCTGCCCGTGGCAGGGGTTGGAGCTGGAGGAGCTTTAAGGCCAAACCCCTCTGGGATTCTGTGATTCTATATTTCAGCACTGCTGAACATCCTATCTGGGGTCAGTTGTGGTCCATGATGGCCCCTGTTTGCCCGGTGTCACCCTCCCATCTCCAGAAGCTGGCTCTCTTCCCCAGGAAAGCATAAAGCAAAAGCTCCATCTCTTAGCACAGCTGCTTTTTTCAGGGTCCTGAAGAGGCCCTTGGTACAGAAATAACCAGAAGAGCTTTTTTTCTGAGCACAGAGAGGCTGATGGGGCTGCTCTTGCAGATGTTCAGATGCTGCTGAGTCTGAGGTTCAGGAGAGCTTGTCCTTTGCTGACTCTTGCTTTCTGTCTCAGGCTGATTCACCCAGCAAGCGGCCGCTCTTATCACGAGGAGTTCAGACCCCCGAAAGAGCACATGAAGGACGATGTATGTGAGCTCCCCAGGCTGCAGCTTCCCTTGCTTTGGGTTTAGCTGCTGCTTTGCAGCATCCCTGGACAAAACCTCATTGCTTTCCTTCTCTCCTGCCTCCTGTCCTGGCTTTCTGGGGAGCGTGGGGATCTGCCTGGGCAGCCTGAGGCGACGGCATGGGATGAGTGAAGGGCATGGCTGTTCCATGGAGCCATGCAGGACTCTGTCCATAGCTGAAGCTGCAGTGGGTTGTGACTGGTTTCCCTCCTGGGGAGCAACTGTAGCCTGCTCTTAAAGCCTCTTTTGGCTGCTTTTAGCAAGCAGAGTGGTGTGTGGGGGAATGGCCATGATGCTGAACCCTCGTGTCTTCAGCGACTGCTTTGGCTGCGCTGGGCTCGCCCTGCTCTCCCCTGCAGACCCGGGCATCGCTCCTGCAGCTCAGGGCTGTGTTTGGAGGAGGGGAGCACGGGTTGTGAGAGCTGCAGAGCGAAGGGGGCAGCGTGCCAGGCAGCAGCCAGCTGGAGACTGTCCCCTTGCTTCTCCCAGGTCACTGGAGAGCCCCTCATCCGCCGTTCGGATGATAATGAAACAGCCCTGAGGACGCGCCTGAAGGCCTATCACACCCAGACCTCCCCCCTGGTGTCCTACTACAGCAAGCGTGGGATCCACACGGCCGTGGATGCCTCCCAGTCTCCTGACGTGGTGTTTGCCAGCATCCTGGCAGCCTTCTCGAAAGCAACATGTAAAGACCTGGTTATGTTCATTTAGGGCTCTGTCCCAGGACGGAGCTCTCCCGCTTTTCTCTCTGTCTCTCCATCTCTGTCTCTGGGGCCAGGGAGGGTGAGGAGCTGAGCAGAGTAGAAGAGGAGGGGACGCGGCCCAAGGCAGGGCTGTGCTGATTCCCTATTAAAGGAGCTGTTAACGGTCTCTGTATGTCGGGAGCTGTGTGCCTGCGGATGCCGGAGCTTTGGCCTCTAGAGGTCGCGGCGAGCCCGAGCACCCGCTGCCGGGAGCGGGGTTTGCATCCCCGGGCTCTAAAGGCTTTTATTTCACTCTAGAAGGAGCTGAACTTCCAGCTCCTCCTGGCTGCTCCCCAGCAGGAGGTTGGGGAGCAGGCCTGGGTGCTGGGTAGGTGATGCTCTGTAGGCAATGACACACAGGGTTACTTTAGGAAGCGGTGAAGGGCTTTCTGTGTGCGTGTCATCTGGGGAGGGACGGTTTGAGTGCTGCTGCTCAGGGCTGGCCGAGAGCTTGTCTTGGTTCTGGGGGTGTTATTCTCTGTGGGGCAGGTTTACCTGAGAGCTCAGCCCATCTTCCTCCCATTCTGATGGGGTTTTAGGGCAGAAGAGGGGGAGTAAGAGCTGGGGAGGTTTCAGCCTCTCATTTGTGGGCCCTAATCTAGCAAATATGAGGTGCTTTCTGCTTTAACTGGAAGTCTCTGGTCAGAGCCTAACAGTCACTGTGGTGATCTGAGGACAAGAAAAAGACATGGGCTTTATCTCTTCACTCTTGCCTTGGCTTTGGCCAAGGAGATGAAGATGTGTTGAGCTGCTCCTGATCCCACAGCCTAAATAAAGCCTTATTGCCAAACAGCTGCTTTCTCAGGGCCCAAGACAGCGTTATTAACCACTGGCTTCATGAGTCCTTGAGCCGGCGACCTTCATTGTGAGCTGATGGAAAAGTCTTTGTTCCTTGGGCACATCCTGCTGCTCCGTTAGGGTACCGTGTGCGGTGTCTTAGTGCCATTATACTGCTCTGTGGTGACCCTGCAGGGCTGCCGGTGCCCTTTGCCCATGTGGCACTCCAGCCTGGCCTGGAGGACCCTGCTGTCAGTGCAGACTGGCCCAGATGAGACTTTGGCCTTTAGCCTTCCATGTGTTACAGAGTGATTTGGTGGTGGAGTCCCCTCCTGTTTGGGGGAGTTGGGCTGTCTCCCTCCCACACTGAGCTCTGGGGACTGTGTGTCCGCTCTGGATGCCCCATCCTCTGGAATCCTTTGCTCTTGGGAGCTGCTCTTTTTGTCTGAGAATCACTCTGTGTCTTCAGGCATCCTTTTCATGGAAACCCACCTCTTCCAGTAAATGGAATATCATGGGGAACTGAAAGCACTTGACTTGTTGCTCTTGAAAGCACGTGGCTGCAGGGAGACAGGGGTTGGAAGTGAACGGTGTTGGTTTCCTCAGCAGCTCTCGGGGTCCACTGGGACCCTCTAGATGGGGGGAGAGAGAAAGGGCAGCACTGGTGTGTGGCATAGGACTGTGGGGCTCCAGGGGAGCGTGTGTTAGAGCTGCCCCAGTGTCTGTGTGACTATAAAGAAGGTCTGAGTGGAAGCAGCTTTCAGCTGAAAGCATCTTGAGAGAGTCAGAGCTGCAGCTCCCTGCACGCTGCTCTAACCCAGGGAAGGCTTCCCAAGCAGTTGACATTCCTGGATCTGGCCATGGTTTTCCTCCACAGCAAGAACAATGTGTTCTACGCTCTTCTTTCCCCCCTTTGTGCTCTTTGCATCCAGCTCACAGCCTTTTCCTGCCTTAAACCATGATTACTTGGGGGGTTTTCTTTATTTTTTTCCCTAAATCTATGTTTTTGTTCCCATTTATTCCAGCTGAGTGACTCCACGAAGCAGATGAGACACCACCACACGCTGCACACTGCTCCAGCACCCATTGCAGCAGGGAAGGGGGGGTACGACATGGGAGGGGAGGGAAGGAGGTGGTAGACAAGGGGCTTGGGGGCTGATTTGGTTGGCTTTTGGTTGGATTCCTTATTCAGCACAATCTTTGTGAAGAGATGGGCTTCTCCTTCAAATCACTGACTGGGGAGGGAAAACCATGGCACAGGGTGAAACATCCCCAGCAGGGACCAGGTCCCTGGCCTGTGAGGAGGGGAGGGGTAGATGCTGTCCCAGGCTTCTCTCCTGAGTACCTTGAGGCCACTGCTATGATTTTTTCTTCCTATCAGCAAGGACCAAACTGAACAAATGACTCATGGAAAGACCAAGGGGAAAAAAAAAAAGATGCCAGGTCTTTTCCTGGAAGTTCTTGTTCTGCTGCATTCCTGAGCCCTGGCACAGGGGCTGCTCTGGGCTGAGCAGAGGGGCTGTGGCTCTGTGCCTGCCTTGGCAATGGGGTGGCTTCACTGTGACCAAGCTGGAATTCTCACAATGCTGGAGAAATGCAAAAGAGCCTTTTTTTTCCTGGGGTGATTGCAGAGCTAACACTGAATGGGGCTGGTTTTGCATTTCTTTTGAGCTCAAATGGTGCCTTTGTCTAACCTCTGAATCAAGAATAAAAACCCCTTTACATTTTTGTACCTGTTGCTGTGTCCTCTTTGCCCTGCAGGCTATGGGAGAGGAGCTGGATGCCACTGTAGGCAACTAACACTGGGCCTGATCCTTTCTTGAGGATGTTCTGGGCAGTTGGAACTGTGGCTTGGAATTCTTCTTCCTCTTCCCTGCTGGATGTGTTCTAATGCTTTATCACCATGGCAATGGTGTCTTCTGGTTCGCTCTCTCCTGTTTCTTCAGGCATGGCACTGAAAGCACTCTGTATCCTGACCCTTTCTGGCCAAAGCTTCTTTCAGGGATGGAATTCCAAACCTTTTCTACTTTCCCTTCACGCTGCCAGTGCATGCAGGAGCTGATGTCATTTCCTTCTCTCCTCCTGCAGCAACTGGAACCCTCATGCTTTATCTTCTGCTTCTGCTCGGTTGCTTTCTGCCTTTTGTAGCTTCTTGTGTCTCTTTGTTCCCCTCCACTGGTGCTTCTTGAAGTACCAAGGGTAAAATCTGCTCTAACACGGGGAACAAGAGCAGTTCCTGGCCTCCCTTTACCCTGTTTCTGTGCTCTGATGGGTTTAGCACCTCTCTGTACCTCCACTTAGCATTCCCTCCCTGTTGAAGGCAAGTTTGTGGTGTCCTTCCCTTATTTCTTTTGCTGATGGATGTTAAGCCGGGCTCTTCCTCATGGTTTGGGATTGTGTCCTCTACTGCTTGCCTGCTGCTGTTTAAAAACCTGTTCTGCCTGCTCCTCCTGGCTTTCCAGTACGTGGGATGGAAGAATCCTGGCTCCTCTGAGCTGGGCTGCTTCTGTTTGATGCTTACCTAAGTGTGGAGCATGGGATGAGCTGTGGGGAGGCTGTTTACCTCCATCCTCCAGCCTCTGTAGGTGGCTCTGCTCTGTGACCCGTCTCTCTCAAGCTGCCCTTGACTCTTCCCTCCGCGCATGCTGCTCTGCAGGCGCTGCAGCTCCCTTCTGTTCCCCCATTCCGTTCCAGCAAGCTGCTTATCAGGCACTCTTTTGAAAACTCTGCTCGTGTTTCAGCCTCCCAATTATTCAGCAGCTATAAAAGGGGAAAATTCCTATTTATAGCCCAAGGACCAGCATCAAATAGGACACTGAATTCTTCCTGATAGAGGAAGTGACCTGTTCTCTAATGCAGAGAGATTTCTGCTGAAAAGCAGCAGCTTCTTGGATGGGGGAGGGCTGAGAAGCTCTGGGCCATTGCTTCCCATTAAAAATGTGCTGCAGTCCTAAAAATACAGTATCTGCCCTTCTCCCCTCCTGCTGGAGCCATCTGTGACAAAGGGGGTGCAGGAAAACCTTTGTGGGGAGTAAGAATGAGCCCACCGACTCCTGAGGGTCTGGTTTGAAGGTGGGCGTGCGCTTCTGCTCCATACCTGATCTCTGATTTCGGAGTGAGAAGTGGCTGCAAGGGGCACCTGCTGCGGGCAAGCAGCACAAAGCCCCTGTCTGTACAGTTTGTATCGTGGTGCACATGGGCATAGCCCTGAGATGGAAAGCGCAGAGGGGCTGAGGAACAAAGAACTCGTGGAGAGCAGTGAATGGAGGGGGTGGAAAGGGGAAGGAGCACCAGGGACACCAGTGGGAATGGCTGTGGATATGGTGAGTGCCTGTTTTGCCTGGGCCTGCTTCCCATGGCTGCCTCTGCCCTCCCTTCCAGGCAGGTTAAGCCAGGAAGCTGTCCCTGGCCTTTGCCTGCCACTGCTCCCCGTTGTCACCGTGTCCTTTGCCTGGTCTCCAGGCTCTTGAGGAAGCGCTGCAGTGGATGATACCAAGCGAGGCTCCGGGAGGTGGAGGACCAGGGGCCGGGATTCCCCCTCCTGTCGCTGTGGCAACCGTGGGGAAGGGAAGGGAAGCAGCAGCGGGGTGTGATGGGGCGGCTGCGGAGGCCGGGCCGGGCTGACATCACACCGGGAGGTGGCGCAGAGGGAAGGCGAGTGGGGACCGGGGAGCCAGGGAGACTGCGGAGGGAAGAGCTGCAGCGGGAGCGGGCTCCTGGCAGAGGTAAGGGATGCTCCGGGGGCAGCAGGGGGGGCATCTGCTGGGCTCCCATCCTGCCTTGGCTTCTTTCTGATGGCGCTCGGGCAGCGGCAGCGTTACACAATGCCCTGGCAGCCTGGCTGGTCCAAACCTGCGAAGCCATCCCCCCAGTGTAGCAGTGTGTGTGTGTCACTGATGCTGTGCGGGGAAAGCCAGCGTGGGCTGAAGGGAGTGGGCAAGGGGACCAGGGCGCTCGCTTGGGATTAGAGCAGGAGTCATTGGTTGAAGGAATGAGGAGCTTGCAGCCCCTGAGCTGCTGCACTGGGAGCCAGCCCAGCAGCGCGTGTTTGCAGGGGGGAGCCTGAGCTGCAGCTCTCCAGCAGGCTCAGCACTTATCCTGCCCTTGCAGGAAGCAGTGGCTGTGGGGAAGGCAGCCACGGTGCACAGCTGGTGCTGGGAGCGCTCTGGATGGGGATCTGGAAGGCAAACCAACGAAGTCCTTGGATCCACTCTGGATGCTGTGCTGCCTTTTAGCGGTTGCATAACGGGATCTGGTCTGTGAGGGGAGAGAACAAGGGGTGACGGTCACCTCTGTGCCCTGCAGCATCCCTGCACTACCCCTGTGCTGGCCCAGGGCCCTGGGGGTGGAATTTCAGCTCTTGCTAATCCTAAAGCTGGGCTTGAACACTTGAACAAGCTGCTGGGTTTACAGCTCCATGGCAGGGGTGTGTGGACTCTGCACCTATACGCAGGCAGCGATAGCAAAGCAGAAAGGGGGTTAGCACCCACTCCCTCTGTGCTAAGCTGACTTGCACTCAGCCTTGAGGTGTATGTGAGTGAGGAAAGGACATTGGGGTCCAAAGCCCGGTGCTGTGGGTGTCAGAAAGCAGTTCTGTGCTGGAGGTGACAGAGGCACAAAGCAGATGCTCGGGAGGGCTGCAGAAACCTTGTTTGAAATCCAAGAGCAGGGAGAGGCCGATGCTCCCGTCACATCCCTGCTGGGAAACAGCACGTTTCCCGTGTTTCCCAATTCATGTAAAGGGCTGGGGGCAGCAGTATGGCCAGGGAGAAATGCAGCCAGGAATGCTTGAGAGTACACGCGAGAGGAGAGTGGCAGTAAGGAGCAGAAAGATGCTTTAGTGAGGGCTGTTGCTGCGGGATGAAGGCACAGATGCTGCTGGGTCGATGGGGAGCACCGGGCAGGGGCCTGGGGTGCCGGTTGATGGTAACTCTGCAAACAGCAACAGCTTGTGCTGCTGTGGGGCTTGTGTGGGAGCAGGGGCTGGAGGCTGCAGCGTTGTCACTCAGGTGGCT